CATCTTGCCTGCAACTTTATGCCTGTGTCAGTACCTCTTCATTTCCCTTCCCCCAGTCCCTGGCAGCCACCTTTTTATTCTCTGCTTCTGTGAGTTTGACTGGTTTAAACCCCCTGTAGAAGTGAATTGTGCCAAATTTGATTCTTCCCTGTTGTCATGAGTGGCAGCATCTCCTTTTTAAAGGCTGAATGATATTCTTTTGTATGCACAAACCACATTTTGTCTATACATTCCCCCATTTGTGGGTATTTTTCTTGGCTGTCGTGAATAATGCTGCATTGAACCTGGGAGTGCCGACATCTCCTTGTGACACTGATTGTGATTCGTTTGGTTTTATACCTAGAAGTAGAACCTTGTGAGGAACCTCCATACTGTTTTTCACAGTGGTTGTACCAATTTACATTCCTATTAAGAGAGCACAAGGATTGCAATTTCTCTACCTCCTTGCCCACATTTGTTATCTTTTGTCTTTTTTTTTTTTTTGATAGTAGCCATTGTAACAGGAGTAGAGTGATAGCTCACTGTGGTTTGAATTGCATTTCCCTGGTGATTAGTGATGTTGAGCACTTTCTTGTGTACCTGTTGATCATTGAAATGTCTTCTTTGGAGAAAGGTCCGTTCAAACCCCTTTTCTACTTTTAATCAGGTTATTGTATTATATGCCACTGAACTAGGCTGTCATTTTTTAAAGCCTTAGTTACCTGTTTGAGTGTCCTGTGTCCTGCTGAGATCCTGACATGTGGTTAGGAGGGTCAACCAGCTCAGAAGGCAGAGCATGACTGAGGCAGCAGGAGGGGCCTATGCCCAGGCTCCCCTCCCAGTTCCAGTTGTGGCTTCCTGCGGGGCGGGCGGGGGGGGGGGGATGGGGGGGTGGTGGTGCTGCCAGTGAGAGCTGGTATGCAGCGTTGGTAGGGGGTTTGAGCTCCTTCCCAGGTGAGGCTGTGGGCTTCCTCTTTGCCTTCCAGGTAACCCCTCTGCATCTTTTGTTGTAGGAAAACCTGTTTGGACTGGAAGCCCATATTCTGGGCACACGTATTGGGTGCCCAGATGGTCCTGAATTTACAAAAGCCCACCACACTGACAGGACCTGCAGACACATGGATAAATATTTTGCCTTTCTTCTTAGGCAATATTTGAGTCTTTCAAATTTAATTGCTGTCAAAGGCAGGATGCTTACCGCCCCTGAGGCAGAGCGAACAGTGTGGGCCCCCAGCCGGGCTGCCTTTGCTGTTCCCCTGGCCCCTGGCGGCCCCTGCATTGCCCCTTCTTCTGCTTCTTGCTCTGGCCCAGGGTCCAGTGGCCTCTGCCCTCATTGGCTGGGAGGGCTTCGGGTGCGAGAGGCTAAAGGATCTGTCTGCAGCTCACCTGGAACCTGTGGCGACTTGTTAAGTGTGTTGAGGTTGAGAGCAAAAAAAACCAGGTACTTTTCTCAGAATGACTGACAGGCATCCTAGAGGCTATGGAGAGTGGAATCCAGTTTTGTACTCCAAAGATAGGTCCAGGGACTGTTTTGTTCCATCCTGAAATCATTGCACAGAGGGCTGCTGCTAGTTTGTATGGCACTTTAAAAAAATTATATAAGGCAGCCCTTCTCCCAAAAGCAGCCTCCCACACCCCACCATAGTGCAAGGCTTGGCAAGCAGAGCAGTGCTAAATTTCAGCACCCAATCATCCCCAGGAGGGGCCCTTGTGCAGGGTACAACATGCCCAACTTACATGTCCAAGGCAGTTGCTGATGTATTTTTGTTACTATTTCTACTCTTTATGTCTTCCTCTTCTTTTTCTTTTCTACACTCTCCTCCCTCCCCCTCCCCCCACCAGACCATTGCCCTTGGATTACATTTGCCACGTACATGAGACACTATCTTGTGATCATACGTGGTTTTCTTCTACCTCAGTGTGATTGTTAAGTCAGCCAGGGTAGAGGTCTTTGCTACAGTCTCCTGGAGATCTGGGGCAATCACCTCTTCTTATTCACTGCGTCCTAGCTAGCCTCGGTTATTTTAAATCCTTGCATGTAATGAAAGCAGGTGGATTCTTTGCCCACAGCGGTCTTAGCCAAGGGCACCTCATATTTCTCAAGCCTTTCTTCCAAGCACCTGGTGTTGTGTTTACCTTGTGCAGGAAGATAAAGAAGAACGAATAAGACAACATCCCTGCCCTTGAGAATCTCACAGTCGAGTAGGGGAGCGAAGTGCGTAGACGGATAAATCACAGCCCCTCTGTGTGTCCTCTGCAGAGGGGGAAGCTCAGGGAGCAAGGAGGAGGACGGAGCAGCCCCAGGTGCGTGCTGCTGTTGGACGCTCCCAAGTGCCCATGAAGAGCTGCCCTGGAGACGCCTTATAGGAGGTGCACATGAGGACAACACCAAACACCAGTGTTCAGGGGAAGGCAGGCAGGGAGGACATGTGAGGTGGCGAGATGGGTCACATCACAGGTGGTGGGAAGGTTTTTCCAGCTGGATCCTAGGGTGTGTGGAGGTTGGGGCCCAATGGGAGGCTGGGGCTTTATGCCTGAGGAGTGTGGGGTTCATCCTGCATGCAGTAGAGGCCACCAGAGGCCTTTGAGCAGGGAATGGCATGGTTGCTTTTCCTTTGTGGAATACACTTCGAGTGGGAGGCTGGCCTCGTGGCAGCATTGAATCTGCTTTGACCCTCTACTTTCTCACTTGTAAAATAGAAATGATGCTAATAGGAACACCTGGGTCATCCAGGGGATTAAATGAGCATCCCTAACAGAGCATCCTGATGGTGGGACAAGTGCAGAACATGCGAATGGCTTCCAGGTGTGATAGATGCTGGTTCCTTTGGCTCTCAGGGGGCCTGGGCCAGGTGACCCTGTGTGCACCATGACATGTGTAAAGTTGGAAACCAGTGCTCTATAGAGCGGTTGGCAAGTCTCTCCTCCTAGTGAATTCCCAGCCAATGTGGTTGGTTGTTGGGATAGGTCGATGTAGTCAAGCATTTCTTAGCGATGGGGATGTATTCTGAGAAATCTGTCATTAAACAATTTTGTCCTTGTGTAAACATCTTAGAGTATACTAGCAAACTAAGATGGCTGTGGCATTCAAAGGTGATGTAATCTTTATATATATATATCACACAGCAGAATGAGATACAATTCTTATTACATAGAGCACAATTTTTCAAATCTCTGGTTGTCTACATAGTATATTCTAGGTGATGTTATCTTAAGAGACTACCATCCTATATGCACCTGGCTTTGACTGAAACGTTATGCCACACGTGACTATACCAGGACAACTACTATGTGGAGGTGAGAACAGAGGAGAGACTACACTCTGAAGTACAACAGACAGAATTTGAGACCAGTTGATGTCTCCAAAGGAAGCAGAGGCAGAATGGAGGAGGAGGAGATGTGGGGTCGACACAGTAGTCTGGATGGAGGTGATGCTATTAATGGAAATTGCTGAGAATTTGGAGTGTGCAGGTTTGAAGTGTGGATCTGAGTAGAGGAAGCAGGGACGGGTGGACACCTGTTCCAGAAGTTTAGCAAGTCAAGGAAGGAGAATGGAGGGACGCAGGTGTGACAAGGTGTGTACAGAAGAAATACCAGAGCACGTGAGAGGCTGCAGGAGTTTGTGGGCTAAGGGGACAGAGGTAGAGGGTTGAGAAACTGGACATAAGCAAGAGAGTACAAACTACTTTCTAGAACTTTATCTCTTTGGATAGTGTCTGTCCTATTAGAGGAATGTCTGCCAATAACTGGCAAGTGGGCAGTTGTCCAGCTATGATTTACAATAAGGCATCAGTTGCACGAGGTACTGTCTAAATTATTGCACCCCACCAATTGCCAGTTTCCTTGCTGACAGTGGGCCAGGGGGTCAAACAATTCAATCAGGTGCCACCGGTTATAAATTGAAAATCAGTGGGGTGCAAAATGGATTACCATCAAAATCCATTCAGGTGCAAAACCAAATTTCAAAACCCCTAACCTTTAAAAACCACTCCTTTCCTGATTCTTCACAATGCCCTGACATTGAGTTTTAATATCCTTCAGATAAGCAAACGTCAATAGAAATGCTTGCAGGAGACCAAAAGTAACAAGGGAAAACCTCCCAGTTGGGCTTTCCTTTTGGAATTTGCAAACATGGTGGATTTTTGAATGAATGCATTGACAGTTCTTTAGATTCCCTGAAGTCCAAGTTCTCAAACTTCAGCATGAAAACAGAATTGTCTGGAGGGCTTAAAAAGATTCATCCAGGTTTTACTTGGAGTTTCGGATTCAGTAGATTTGGGGTTGAGTCTGAGAAGTTGCATTTTTAGAAGCTCTTAGAGGATGCTACTGCTACTGGACCTGGGACCACATTTTGCGAATCTCTGCCCTAAGATATGGGAACATTTTGATCATTTGACCAGCAAAGCATGCTTTGGTTCATAACCATTTGTCAGAAAGTGGACCAGATGTAGAGTCTAAGGGCTCATAGATTTGTTCAAGAAACCTGAGAAAGGACTGATTCCAAGAGATACAGATTGATTTGAGTGCTTTGTGGTCAGAGGTGAGGTTGAAAAGGAAGGAGGTAGAAAAGGGGAGAAGCCCCCTTAGCTCACTGTTCCAGAAGATTGTGTACCAACAGCACAAATAACACCACTGAGGCAGAAGCCTGGTCCCTGTGTGGAAACTGTTCCTGGCTTTCAGTGCTGATCTTCCTCTTTGGAAGGAAAGAGTTTGGTTAGACCAGCCTTCCTCTGGGTGTTGTTTTTTAACAACTAGCTTCGAGCAGCCTATTGTCTGGCTCTTCCACCTCTGCTTTGACTCCAGAGATACATTTTTCTGTCTAAATCAATGCTGTTTGATTGTGGTTCCACTCTCTTGCTGTTTTTGAGTCCGGTTATCACTTTGTATAGACTTTAGGTATCACGGGGCACAATATAAAACAAATATCTTTCTCCAGGATGGAAAAAAAAAAATGGATCCCAGAACTGCTCCGGAAGTGGTTGCTGCCTCATTAACATTTGGCTTCTGTCTCTCTTTTCCAGGAGAAATTGAGCGCTGCACGTACATCAAGTACCACTACTCCTCAGCAACCATCCCCAGGAACCTCACTTTCAACATCACCAAGACCATCCGTCAGGACGAGTGGCATGCCCTGCGTAAGTACACCTGTGTCTTCGCCTGTGACTGCGCTGTGAGGTCACTTTTGGAGGGATTAAAAGACGGGAGGCACCTCCTGGGATCTGTGGATAGTCTCAGGTCATTGTGGGGGTCCTTACGTGCTGATATCTAGAGGTCAAAATTGCCTTAATTGATTTTGATTGCATTAGAAATTTGGGGGGTTTGTTTCTAAAATTAAGAAAAAAAACCCAAACCAAAAGCAAATCACTAGCAGTTAGACGGTGTCCTTATGTCCCTGTCCTGCTAGGCATCTAGGATCTCACCTACCTGACTGAACATGCTCTTGAGATTTCACTCCAGCATGTCTCCACGTTGCTTGGAACATCATTGTGGCAACCTGCTAGTCCCTTGTGTCATCATTTGTAAAGAGTGAGAGTGGCTAGTGGATGCGGGGATTTGCACCTGGGTAGGGTCACTGAGAGGTAGGACCTGGCCTCATAAATTTCTGTCACATCCCTATTTTGAATGATAGACACTGGGCCTGACTCACCTGTGATTGCTCAGCGTAGGTCAGATTATCTGTGTCCATTGGTTAGGGAATTTCTTGGCCAGAGATACCCAGAGACTTAAATTACAGCGAGAGGCTGACGGCTGACTTAATGAGTAAACAGAGCTAGTTGGCTATTTTTACTCTTCTGCTCCATGGGGATCTGCTGCCTGTCTGTGGCAGGAGAGCTCTCCCTTGTCGCTGGCACATCTCTTCATGCCAACCCCTTCATCCTGTGAGTAGGCACTGTGCCACCTCTGTTCCATTTGTTAGACATTCCTATTCCATTTTTTTTTCCTCACCCAAGGCCCTTAACCAAGGTTAAAGTTCAGATTGCAGTTTTCATGAGAAGGTGCATTCTTTTATTGTTTCCTTGTATTAAGGATCGCTTAATTGATGAGATTTGAAGAAGGCAGCTCTTCAGGCCAAAGCATCTTTCTTCTCTTTATTGTTGTTTAGGTATCATTTGTGTGTGTGTGTGGGGGGGGGTGGGGATCATCAGTGTTTGGTTTAACTTGGGGATGGAGAGTGGGGAAGTGGGAGAGATTAAATAAAGCTAAAATAGAATGATCACTCATTAGTCTCAGGAAAAAATTGGATGTCCAGATGATTGTTATTCAATGCTTCTGGCCTGAAATGACAGAGCAGTGCCAGCAGATGGGACAGCTTTACTGTTGCCCCTATGAGATATAGCTATTAGGAGGGACACCAGCCAGCATGTGGGGACACAGAGCTAATGTTCAAAGAGCATTCCCATGTGCTAGACATTGAGCTAAGCATGCCACATACTTATTTCATTTTAATGTGAGATTTGCCTTAGAAAGTCTAGTAATTAGGGGTGTTAATTTCTTTTTGGAGGTAGACCTGTAAGGACCCCCAAATAGAAATAATATTTCTCATAATGCATTGGTCTAGTATAGCCACTTAATGGGATCCAAAATGCAATGTTCAAGAGACATAAGTCCTGTTGATTAACCATCTAAACATAACAGATTATGGCGTTCACAAGAGGATTCAGAATCTCAGAAGGAAGAAGATGTTGACACTGCGGTTTCAATTCAAATGAACTCAGTTTAACCAGAGTTATGGAGTTTCTCTATGCACCAGGCACATAGTGGATAGCCAAGCCACAGGGAGCTCTTTTAAGAAGCTCAAGTCTGGGGGCGGAGAAGTGGGGGGTTGGAGAGAAACATTCACAAAGCAAATAATTACAAGGCAATGAGATAATTACAATATAGTAGAATTGCTTCAAGCAATTAAGATAGTTTGTGGAATTTTTTTTTTCAGCAAGAGGTAGAATTATTTCAGTGTAGATTTCACAAATAAACTTCAAGGGAAACCTGGTAGAACTCTTTTGGCTGTATACACTGTAGATGTCTGGAATTCAAAGAGGTTACCCATGGAGGCATCACTGGAAACATGTCACATGGCATCAGCAAAGACAGAGAGCTTTGTGAGGTCCTCTTTGTGTCTCCAGGGTGCTCATTCTCCAGCTAGAGTGCCGTTGGGTTCTGAAAAGTCTAGTGTGCGGCTTATGCTGCGAATCGAGGTGCTAACATCTATTTTTAACTGATAAAAGCTATGTCAACCATTGATACATGTCAAGGTCTCCGGCACATGGTGCCGGGTGAAGCCCATGCTCCCCTTTGGTGAGGGATTCATCTGCTTCTTTGACAAAGTTGCCCAACAGGTTGTTAACCAGACAGAGAACATTTGCTGTGTTTGACATCGAAAACAGCTATTTTCAGCCAGAGGGCAGGTGAGCATCTGACACAATTGAAGTTGGTACCAAGAATAATTAGGAATGCTCGAATGATAGCGAAGCTCAGTGTGCATCCATGTTAGAATTCAAAGGTCAAGCAGTGATGACATGAGGTGGGAAATGGGCACAGAAGCTGTCTTTGAAATAAAGTGGAAGCAATTAAAAATTAGCAAACTCCTATGGTCAAGTATTGAAGATGAAAAGAAAACTGATTTCTTTACCTGTTTTGAGAGTCCTGTGCTCTTTAAGTGAGATCAAATAAATTCATTTGATACTAGGTTGGTAATATCTTACATTCTGTAATTTTTCTCAGTAGATAATGTTTGCCCAAGGAAGGAAATTTGAGGGTTGTTGGGGTTTTTTTTTTTGTTTGTTTTCTTGTGAAACAACTTCTATATGGCAAATGTTTGGACTTTGGTTAACCTTGGTTGCATAATTTTTTATCAGGAATTTGCATATAGTCTGACCACTGTTGTAGGAAAAAAAACATTTTTAGATAGGAAAAAGCACATTTGGTTTTGAACTATGTTAAAATTGTTGAAAAGTTTACCCCACCACTTGCAGTCTCAACTGCTGCATTCAATCACCTCATGCTCAGGTGAAGGCAAGGTGACAGAATAAAATTATCTGTAGGCCACTAGGCTTACAAATCCAAGTGTGCAGAATTAAACCCATGGGAACTAAAGGTCTGAGGATCAGAGCTGTGCACCTGTTGGGAAGGGTGGTGGGGGGGAGGGAGTGGTCTTTGTGTCCGAGGTTCAGATGCTGAGTTCTGTGGGTGAGCTGGTGACCAGGGGTTCTGACCCTGGCTGGGACGGGGATTGCTGCTGAGGTACCATGGGGGCCTGTTTGTCCTTCCTCCCTGGGAGCAGCAGAGTGTCCAGATGTGAGATCCATGTCCTCACCCGCCCAGGCCTGGCTGTTCACTGCTGCCCTCCTTTAGTCCTGGTGACACAGGTGTGCAGCAGGGATGGGTGGGTGCCTCTGTGGGGGGGCTGCAGGTGCTCTGATCTCCTTGCCCAGATCTTCCTAACATCTCCAGGGCCAGAGCAGGACAGGAGAGTATCACTGGCCAGTTAGGAGGGGACAGGAAGCCTCAGGAGGTGAACTTGGCAGACACCACACGTTGGCTGGGTTGTTGGTTTAGTGCTTTGAATGAGGAAGACTGGTCACCAGGGCAGGGAAGCTGGCTGGCCCTGCAGTCGCAGTGGCAGTGACGCTGCTTCTCCTCTCACAAGCTGTGTCCCCACAGGCTTCTCATAACCTATGGCTCAGTCTGAGGTAGCAGCCCTTGTTTGGAGAATTCTGTGTCCTCGAGCAACCCCAAGAGGCCTGGAGGCCATTCCAAGTGGCTCTGCCTTTGTTCAGGAAGCTGCCACAGCGTCCTTTGGCCTGGACACTGGATCAGTGACAGGGCAAGTGGGAGAGGGGAGCCTGGGTGGCCTGTGACAGGGACTGAGCAGCTGTGGTGGGCTGACAGGGCCACTGCGACAGAGCCTGTCTGAGGCCGCAGGGCATACACCTGCTCTCAGGTGTGAGGAGGGTGGCTCTTCCTGCCCTGATCTGATCCGATTGCCAGGGACCCAGAGGGCAGCTGTAACTAAGGACCCCCGGTCAAAGCCCTGGACTCAGTCACCATGCTGTGAGCTCAGGGTTCTCACCCTGCCTGGTGAGGGCAAGGTAGAGGGTTTAGCCCGCAGCTGATTGTCCCTGGCCGTGAGAATCCAGAAGCTGGGGCTCCACTTTCTTGCGGTCAGAGCTTCTCCCTTATCTTTTGAGAAGCTGCAAATAAAGGATGCTGGAAGTTCTTCTTCTTTTTTTTTTTTTTAAAGTCTCCATCTGTCAGAATTGAGGGTTCAACGAATTAGATTGGGTGGTCACAGGGCACCTTCCCAGCTGGCCTGGGGACGGAGGGAAGGAGGGGGAGAGAGAGGTGTGCTTTCCTCTCGTGACTTCCCTGGTCCCAGCCTGCAGCCACACCCAGCCCTGGCTCACAGGGCAGACCTGCAGTGGTGCCTCAGGTGTGCCCAGCAGGAAACAGAACCAAGCAGAGCAGGTGCCTCCATCTACAGCAAGGGAGTGGAGAGTCCTGCCCCTTTGTCCTGTTACCAGTGAGGCAGAGGATGTCAGTACCAAGGAGCCATCTTGAAGCTGGGTTAAAGGAGCATGGGAAAGTCTAGCTTGGCCAGAAGAAGGAGGAGCAGAAATTGGAGGGGGGTGGGGGTGGGGTGGAAGTGGAGACTTTGTGGATGACCAAGCACATTTGAGTGGACCCACCACTAAGAGGGATAAGAAATCACAATCCAGAATCATCTTGCCTGCTTAGACACCTGAGTGACTTCTCAGCTCCCCAAAGTTTTTCATCTCTCACTCTTGCCTGCAGGTTAGCTCTGTCTTGAGAGCCCAGCACCCACCCAGGCTGGTGTGTGGTAAGAAGCCTGCACATTTGGCCTCTCCAGTGCAGATGGTGGGGCGGACTCTTATCCTGCTTGGCCAAACCCTAATCATTCCCTTAATCTGTCCATTTCCTTATCCTTTCCTTTTTTTTTTAGAGTTAAAGGGTCTTGCCCTGAACCCCAGTCTCTCTCTAGCTTCCCTAAATCCTGCCCATCCCTTGGGCCCCTGGGGCTCCTTGTCCTACCCCACGGGCATCAGCCTGTGGCCTTGTGGTTATGCTGTTGCTTTGCCTAATAGCACAGCCTTTCCTTTCCCAGGGAACTAACTCAGCA